GTATGTGTGTATGTGTGTGTGTGTGTGTGTGTGTGTGTGTGTGTGTGTCTATATCTGTGTGTGTGTGTGTGTGTATGTCTATACCTGTGTGTGTGTGTGTTTATGTCTATACCTGTGTGTGTGTGTGTTTATGTCTATACCTGTGTGTGTGTGTGTGTGTGTATATGTCTATACCTGTGTGTGTGCGTGTGTATAAAATAATACATACACACACACACACACACACACACACACACACACGTGTGTGTACACCTGAACATCAGAAATGTGAGACACCTGAATATGTCTCAAGGGCTTTTTCCCCAAAACTGAAACTTCTCTGAGTTAAAGAAACCTTTATCTATGAGGTTTTTGTAATCAAGTTTAAAATAATTTTGTGCACTAAGAAGATTAGTCCTTTGTTATCTCCCAGACAATCAAGCATCTTTTTTTCAAAAGACTGGTTTTACCTCCTTAGTTATAGTGGCTTAAATAGCCTTCAAAAGTTCTTACATCTTTTCAAAGCAAAGCCTTTTATTTTTCCTTTCCTTTTTGTCGGAGGCAGAGGCACAGTCACTATTCATACCATTACTTTCGGAATCAGAAGTCTAAAGTTGACCTGAGATAGAAGCTTTATTGAAAGATGAATCAGGGAAACAAAGCAGAAAGACAGAATTGTATTCTGAATGGCTGTTTTGCAAAAAGACATTGGGGTGCACATCATAGCCATATTTTAAACAGCCTCAGTGCATTCACTTAGAAAATAAAGACAATATTAAAGAGAAAATGAATGTCTGTATGAAAGCATGCAAATTTATATGTTTCCTGTATTAGTCTAGGTCTGAAGCTCAAGAACGGTCTCCTTGTCTCTGTGAAACAGCCTAAATGAAGGTTCAGTACAATACGTGGACAGCGGACGACAGATATATCCCGCTTGTCAGACAGAATGACAGAATAATAGCCCCTGTTCTTGGATCCACTTAAAACAAATCAACTGGACTGATTAGGTCTATAGCATTTAAACAGCCTGCCTATGAGCCATGGTCAACCTGCTAGTCCTAGTTCTTCCCTAGGACTATGTCCCCCTCAAAAATTGATGAAGAAAACCAAAAGATCCTCCAATAAACAGAATTCTAAAATATTACCTACAATCCAGAAAAAAAAAATGCTTTTTGTCAGCTTGAAAGTCTTGACAGGAGTGAACTCAAACCACATGCATGCGCCTGAAAATGTGTTCCCAGAGGCCAAACCCCTCCACAGATAAGTGCCTACAACCCAAACAGACCAGGCCAGCCTCTAGAACCTGAACAATTCCCTACGAAACGTAGAAAATGCCAAAAAGGGCTCAACATTTTTTTTTAAATTTATGTTATAAATATCAACCACAATCTATAAAGACAAAGGCACTCAAATTTAAGAAAGTCAGTTTTCCAGTGCAGAAGGCTGCTCTCTGAAACTCACACAGGTTTGAAATAGTCTTACCAAAAGGATATAAATGGGAATATTTTAAAAAGGTATTTCCAGTATTTTAAAAGGCTATAAATAGTACATACTTCTGGACAAAACCTGGGGCTGAGAGCGAGGAAGCACAGGACGTGTGGGTGAAGCTGCATCTGTCCATGGAAACCCATAGAGACATTAGGGCTCTATAATAAGGGTACATGAACACTGCTGCGGTAAAAGCCAGTTTTGACATACCCCTCTAAGACCTTATCAAGATATGATAGCTCTCCTCGTTTTTCATCATCTATGGAATTTGCGCTCCAAGACACCCCACTAGCACACATCTAGAATACTGTTGGAATGATATGACTATGTAATTCTCCACTACCAGTCCTGTTTCCCCTAAACCTGTACACTGCTCCTAATCCCTGCCTTGCTCAAACTGCCCCCTACCCTTGCCTCTCCTAAGATTGTGCAGTCAAAACCCTTCTACGGTTCCACCCAAAAACACAAAAGTGAGCAAGATAAACTATGGGGACCTTCTGACTTGAAATCGCTTAATCTTTAACTGCTTCAAAAACCGCCATACATAAAAATATGGTGACATCCTGATTATACCAAGATCAAGGTTGCTGCAGCGGTTTTTAAACAGCCGGCCGGTGGCTGTTTTGCATAAATGTGATCTGGTAGCTATAGAGCCGCCCAATTGTTTGTATGGTGACGGGGAATGTGTGACCTCTCCTCCGGGACAAGCACGGTGGGTCTGTTCACTTAAATCGAAGGGAGATCAGCACACTTCCAGCAGCTGATCTCCCCTCCGATCACTGAACCCGAAAACAACGTGTATTACATCACTTTCAGGCAGTCATTTCTCTGGCTCCTGTTGGCAGAGAAGAAGCAGAGATTGTGCTTCATCAGCTTCTTTGGGGTCCAAAGGTGACAATAGGGATCTAATAGACCCCTGATGTTTCCATAAAGGGGAGACACATCCTCTTTGCCATTACATAGGGGGGTTGTATGTGATAGCAATAACGTTAAGTGTAAAAAAAAAAAACAATAAAACAAATTAAAGTCACATATAAAAAAAAAAATCTTTAAAGTCCCCTGCCCCACACGTACAAGCACATATAGCCATGAGAGCAATAGTTTTAGGGCCATCAATCACTGTTAACACTAAATTGATGAGCAGTAAAAGCTTTTAAAGAATTGCCTATGGAATGCGCAATTTTAAGACATGACATGTTTGGCATCTATTTACCTGACGTGACCCCGTCTTTTATATATTACCAAAAAACTAGGTACTATATTCTGTTTCTGTGATCTAAATCTCATTTTACTGTATTTTATCCAAAAATACTGGTTTGTGCAAATACCGTGCAACATAAAAAATTACAACTAGCATTTTTTTTTATTCTACAGGGCCTCTGCTTTTAGAAAATACATAATTGTTCGGGGAGTTTAAGCTGTTTTGTAGCCAAAAATTCAGATTTTGTCATGTGCAAAGATTAAGAAATTGCTCCAGACACCAAGTATCGTATTTTTCGCTCCATAAGACGCATTTCCCCCCCCCCCCCAAAGGCGGGCAAAAATGTGTGTGCGTCTTATGGAGCGAATCCCTATCGCCCGCAAGCAGAGCTAAATGTACAGTGGGAGCCGCTGTTCGTTTAATACAAGTAATCTAATCAGATCACATGTATCAAATCGAGCAGCGGCGGCAATCGTGTCCGGGGCCCCCCGCCGTGGTTTTCGGGGTCCCCCGCTCTTCTGGGGGACCCGTGACCGTGGCATAGGAGCTCACCATAGAGCCTGTAGAGCTCTGTGTGCTCACTGAGACCGTGGGGCTGTAATCACAGCACCACCTGTCACTAACTACACAGAACCCTACCCTCCCTGCGTCCTATGGTCAGGTTCGCCTTATGGAGCGCAAAATACGGTAGTTAATTTAGAGTAAATATGACTAAACTAAGCAATGAATTGATGTAATGAATAAAACTGAGTTTTCTATATTAAGAATATAATGTAGTCACTACTTACCTCCATATTGTCAGTTTTGAAAGGATTTCGATAATCAGGAGATTTTTCACTAATGCCCAACTCTTGAGACATCTAAAAACATGAAATCCAATACAATTAGGGTATGGTTAGTGAGCACATGCTGTACTAGGATGAATAAGCAATACAGTAGCCATATTATTTTTCTGTAAACACTTCCTAGAGGGATCATGTTTTCCTCCAACAAGACTATAGAGAGAGCTCATCTACAAGACCTTGGAAAAGGCTGCATTTTTCAGAGGTTTCAGACATACCAAGTCAAGAAGCTGGGAATGTGGACCGTCATTGAAGATTTCACTCAGATTGCAGAAACCAATTCCCCACCGAATGAGGTTGTTCCAATTAGAATTCCGGTCAAAATAATGGTGAACAATTTTTGGGAAGCGTAGGACTACATCGCCAAAAAATGCTGAATTCTCCACCGTGTGGGAATAAGCTAGATTCAGAGGAGATACAAAACATTTCAGTGATTTTTAGTACAATACAATGAAACATCGGTGTTACATAAATTATATACATTATATATGTAAATTTAGTATTGCGAGTCTGTATGTTGTACAGCCATGACAAATAAGTGATTTAGTTTCCTCTATTTTTCTTTTCTACAGTGCGGTTGGCATCTGGAACGCACTGCAATTGGTGTGAACAAGCCCTGAGAGAAGTACAATAAAAAGGTCAAACCAGAGCCCTGAAGTGGACCAGCATGGGTTTTTGGCTCAGCTGGAGGGAATATCATGTGAACAAGGTAAAAAAACAAATGTGAACTGGGTTGCTATGTAAGAGATAGGGCTTTGTTTCTATTGGCAATTAGGGAGGGCAGGGAAGTGTACCTTCTTTTATACTGTACATCTCCAACAGGACAGTTGTAAATCCTGCAGTAAGATGAAAGCTCTCTTGTAACAGGACAAGCACTGAAATTGGATTTCCTGTAGCATTGTGGGTACAAACTCTTCAGGGCAGCTTGGGAGATCAAAGAACTTCAGCTCACAGTTAAGTCTCCAAAAACAGTCTTGATAAGATCTCAATTGCAAGCCACACAGTGTGTACCAGCCTTAAAGCGACATTAAACTCAGGAGATAATAGTTAAGGTACTTGAATGCAATAACAAAAATAAAGCTCATCTGTGTATCAGCTGGCTGAAGATCATCAAATCATCTCTGAATTCATGCCGACACTGACCTTCCTTCTGGAGGGTGACTACTTTTGTTCCCCATGGTGCTTGTGTGTGTTGCAAAGTAGCCACCGCTCCAAGCTCGCTCCCATGATAGACTATAAATTCAATACAAGTTAGCCAACTGTGACATTGTAGTCCATCATGGGAGCAAGATTGGAGTGGTGGCTACTTTGCAACACACACAGGGCCCAGGGTGAAAAAAGTAGCCACCCTCCAGAAGGAAGGACAGTGTCGGCATAAATTAAGAGATGATTTGAGGATCTACAGCCAAGTGATGCCAAAATAAGCTACATTTTTTTATAGTTAGGGTAAAATTTAACGCCTGTGTTTAGTGTCACTATAAAAAAAAATACTTGCAGCACCAATAGATACTCCTTTGCTTCATAAAATCCACTCATGTGATTTAACATAACCAATTTTTTCCCCATTAAAGTAGAACATAGCCAACCCACTAAATACAAGTTTTACCTACACAAACGTTGGTGACTCTATTTATAGTCAATAGGGTGAATGACAACATGATTCAGCATTAAAGTTTTGTAAAATGTGGCACATGTCTACTCAATGGACTATGAAAGAGCATCAACACACTGCCAACATACCACCTGTGCTACTTAAAGTGACATTGAAGGAAAAAATCCCCCCCCCCATGTTAGTGTAAGGACTTACCTTAAATGATGCCTCTTGATCCAATCATCTTCTTTCCTGTAGTTTTCTGCTGTCCCTCCAGCGCTGGTGCCGGTCTCCGATCCTGTGCTGACTCCTCTGTCTTAACTGTCCCATGGAGTGTGTGAGGGTGCACGCTGCTGCATTTACTAACCTTGCGTCTCTCCTCGTCTCCCGGCCGAAGATCTGAACTGCGCATGCGCCCGCCCAAAGATCCTTTGCGGCCGCCCGAGAGTCTTCAGATGTTCGGACGGGAGCGCACGGCGAAGACAGTTTTTAAAAAATGTTTTTGCATATATATGCAAAAAACGCTGAGGGTTTATTAACCCTTTATGTAAGCTGCCAGAACAACTGCTCCTCTAGCTCTTAAAACCACAGGCAACATTGGAAAAGACAGTGCAAATTGATTGGCTCACAACAACCGCCCACTTTTAGTCTGATTTGTTTTGGGCAGGGGATCCTTGCGTGAATCTCACGAAAGATTACAAGCAATTATATTTGAAATGCTTAATAATAAATACATACAGTACATGGATTAAAGAGTTTTTTTGATATATATATTCTTGGGGTCCTGCTTTAATCCCTTCCTACTTGCAATCTGTTTAATAGAGTTTACCAGCACAATGCCCCATGCAGGGGCATATGTTAATAAAGGTCCTTACCTTTAAGAGCCAGCAACTCATACTTTGTATGGTTCCTGGCTCTTAATCACTGACAGACAGATCATTCAGAGTGGTTCAAGACCATGTGATCACCATGTCAAGCTATATTCATGATGCAGGTTGGAGGCTTCATTAACAAACAAGCCTTCAGCCTGAACATGGGCAGGCTGCAGTAGGATCTGTAGCATCATCCATTTAATATTAAAACTTGTGAATTACAAATAATGATACATTTAAATTTTTTACATTTTTTTTTTTAACTCAATGGAAAATCCTTAGTGTATTCTTAGAGTCCACTGAAAAACACAGGAAGTCTTCAACTTCCAGGCTATACTGCCACCTAAAAGAAGCTTGGACACAGGCGAACAAAAACTGCATGCTCCAGACAAACCCTTCTATTACCACCATGACTGTAGCAAAGCAGTAACAAGGCTTGATCATAAACACAGAGGGTGGGATCTGAGTCGCTCAATGGACTCTAAAAAGGGATTTCAAGGTTAAAACAGAAATCATAGTTTTTTTTCTTGTCCATTGAGGGACACTGGAAGACTCTCACCTTTGGGATGTCCAAAATCAATCCAACTTAGGGGTGGGCAACAAAGCAAACAGGTCCAAGAAAACAGAGATCTGGAGACTGCCAGCAGTACAAAGAGCAGCCTGCAGCCTACGTTTGAAGCATCAGATGAGGCCTAAATGTCCACCTGGCAGAACTTAGAGAATACATAACAGAAGACCAGGTGGCAGCCATGCAAGTCTGGGAAACATTGGCATGAAGCCGAAATTCTGAGAGGTGCTCATAGATCTAGTAGACTACTAAATTGGAGCTGGCTAGAGGAACAGAATAACAACAATTTCCTGGTTGAGGAAAAGGCAGAAATACCTTAGGCAAGAAAGAAATCGTAGCCTCACCACCAAGTTGTTTCTATGCAAAACCAAAAAGGGTTCTTTGCAAGCTACAGCTGCCAGCTCTGACACTCATGTAGCAGAGATCATGGCTACAAGAAAAAATACCTTGTGGTGAGAGTACGGAAATGTCTCTAATGGGTTCAAAGGGGGTTTCTAAAGCCCAGAGAGAACCAGACTACGGTCCCAGGAAGTCACCGGGGAACAGACGACGAAGCCGAGGGGTGGGGTTGGGTGGGCGCTGCATGGGAGATCCCCTGTTCAAAAGCCAAATTAAGTAGTGTTCTGCCTGATCGGACTACTCACTGACTCTTCAGAGACAGGGCAAGCACTGAGACAATGCCAATGGCTCTGAACCTCGAAAAGCACTCGGCACTGAGTCTGGAAATTGTGCCACACAGAACCCTTTGCCCGAAGGTCACCTCCAGGCTATCCCCACAACGTCCAATCCAGCAGGTCTGGATGCTGTACTCCAGGTTGAGGATGACTGTGCTCGATAGCTGCGATCAGGGGGAGAACTCTAGCAGTAAAGTAGAGAAGAGTAACATTGAAGAGTAAAAAAGTGCAGAAAAAAAATAGGTTAGTCTTCAACACAGCAGAGCTGAAGAAAATACATCCACTCTCCTAGGACACTTGCAAAAAACTGAGGCACGCTTGTAGTATTAGAGGTTACCCGGGGGCCGGCCTACAATTTGTTTTTGTTTTTGTTTGCTACTGTCTAAGCCTCCAGTAGGTGGCATAACTCAGAAATTAAAGACTTCTTGCGTCTCTCAATGGACAGGAAATCATTTTTTTTTACGCTTTTGTGCATTTGGCAGGCTTGGCATCTAGGCATCAATGGCCACTGGTCATAACATGGTAAATACTCATGAAAAACATTGCCTCTAAAGTTACTGTTCTTTTTCACTGCCAGTGTGTAATGTAATATTGCTGGGACACAACACACACAAGGAATCAATTTCTCTGTCTGGTTGGAATTTGATTACATATGAATGGGCACTCTGCAGACACTCCCTTGGCTGACTGGTCTCAGAATGATAGGTATTGCTTTAAAGGCGATAAGACACCATAGATGTCTACTCAATGCATATCCAGGTACACTTAAACTAGCCATATACAGTTCAGATTTCGGCCAAAAATCGAGCTGTGGGTGGCCCAGCCAGAAACCCCCTGGCTAATTGTAAATTTTCAAAATCAAACAACTTAGATTGAAATGTGTTGGCTGCCTGAATACAATAGCTGGCAGTGCAGATTCCTCCAGCCATGCGGTTTAGACTGGATGGGGGGGGGGGAATCAAGTGATTTCTCCAAGAGAGAGAGAAAGATTCATTCCTCAGACCTATGCAAAAGATTTTTGAGGAAATGTTGCACCTGCACATTATACCTTCAGCTTCATCTGGATTATTGGTCCAAGTCACCACACTTCTGAGTGTGAATGCTTTGTGACAGAGCTTGCACTTCCATACCGAAGCATACTCGCACTTTGCGGCCAGGATACTGTATGTATAGAGGCACTTCTGTAACATTTTTTCTGTTTCGTATAAAAGGTAGATCCCTGCTTTTGCATTTCCCTCTTATTATCATCATAAACATTGATATTCCAAAGACCCAGTTTCCTCCCCAGAAAATGTGTCAGTTAATTAACCATGCCAGTCTGTTTTAGATCATGAAAAAAATCTGTTCATATATCCAATATCTTGTACTTGTGGCATTATCATGCCTTAGCATTAAACAGCTGATAAATTATTGTGAACTTTTGATTCTCAAAATACTTTGGCGGTATTTTCTGCTCCCCTTACAGGCCCCTCATGAAATCTCACAAATGATTTCCAGTCAGAAGCTGGCAAGATTTTGAGGGAAAACATGATACATTTTTGTGAGTGGACTTTTACATACATACACTGTAAAAACAAAAAACGACAACAAAAAGGACAAAGCATGCAGTAACTAAACTTGACCCATGTGATGAAATGAATAAAACCTTTAGACAGTGAAACATTTCACAAATTACACATATTGGCAAAAATGAATAACTCGAAAATATGTGCATATAATTAACATTTAAAGTAGAACTCAAGCCAAAACTTTTTTTTTCTTTTTCTAATTTTGGATAGTGTTCTGAAGTTATAACCCATCAGCATTTTTTGTGCCATCTGTATCCCATTGGGGATATTACCCTTCACATCCTGTCCGATAACCATTACAGGAAGTGAGAGAAAATCCTTCGGTAGAAAGGGAAATTCCTGGTGGTCATCGTGGTCACCAGAACTAATGTCCCCATTTGAAGAAGCTCCATCTATTCCTGTTTTGATGAGAACCCAAAATTTTGGATTTTCTTTTACTTATAACAGTCACAAGGGCAAATAGACAGGTACACAGACAGCAATAAAAACAGGTGTTCTAATCCTTCTGCACTTTATACAAAACTAAAAAAAAAAGTGTTGACTTTAGTTGCACTTTAAGAGATCATTTCACACCTCCACATCATACCATCTTTAATCTTCTCATCTTCAGGGAATGGACCATCAGGCTGTACTCCAGCTGCAATGAGAATAGCTCGGGAGTCTTCCAACACCTGTTACAACAAAAACCATCCTGAAAAACCTCCAGAATCATTTATGCAATTGTACCAAAAACATATTTAAACATTAACTTGCATATTGTGTGCCCTTTGCTCAGGACAAAATACAGAAAATGCATGCACTATTTTTTGTGATCGCAGCGCGGGCATTGCTGTGGCACACTTTCTGGTGCAGGCGATCACAGTGCGGGCGGGAGGCGTGGCTGCGGTACAATTGACTTATATGGCACCACCAAGTTCCCTCCTGCCCCAGAATGCAGGGAGGCTTAATTATGTGACCCAGTGTGTTCCAGCCACTAACCGCACTGGATTAGGTGTGAACAAGCCCTAAAATGTGAAAGGCAGAGGTTTATGTGTAATATGGCATTTCTCCCTCCACTATTCTTACCCTAGTGAATGGGCAAAGTCCCATTAAAAGAAATACAAGGGACACCACTGCTGACTTCTTAAGAGCACAACATGCCTTGATGTCTCTGGAATCAATTCCTTCTAAATCATTGGCCAAGTAACAAGCAGTCATATGAGAAAGTGAGGCTTCAGCTTGTATAAGATCAATGTGTATAGCAAGTTTTTGCAAAGAATCTCCAGAGTTTTAGGCAAGATTTGTTAAAGCCTTGAAACAGCCATTTAGCTCCAGTTTGAGGAGCTTAAAAAAAATAAATCTTAATAAGGGAGCAGACCTGCAATTTACGTACAACAGCCAGTCCTAAAAGGGTTAAGGGAGGCTAGCACAAAAAGCCTTTTGTTTAACCAGTTGACATCCGCGGTGTTAAACCCCCTTCCCATCCAGGCCATTTTACATGTAATGGACATTTTTGTAATTTGTTTTTTTTAATAATTATCCTTTGTGCTGAGGTTTATGTGCATCTGTGAGAGTGTCAGTACAGTAATTAGGAGTATTTCATGACTACAAAGACTGTGGCATATGGGTGCAGTGTAGGCAGCGAATAGGCATAGGTTCGGTTTAGTAATTCGCCTTTGTGCTTAAGGGCCTGTTCACATGAGTTTCAGGTCCTGATCAGGTGCGGATGTGTTTTTGCCGCGTTCCAGTTTAAAAAAAATATATATATTTTTTTTTGCTGATTGGGACTCTCAGTATGTTAGCTGCAGTGCAGTGCGGTGCGGTTTTGACACATTTTTGCGTTTCCGGACCGGACAAAATGTGACATGCAGTATTTTTCTGTCGTAACCTGAACGGACTCCGCACGTGAGAACTGTAGCCCATAAAACACATAGGGAAACATTTTTAGTGCAGGAGCGTACGGATCAGGTCAGGACAGAAAACGGACGTCGTGTGAACAGGCCCTAAGGCTGGGTTCACACCTGAGCATTTTTTTATGCTCGTTTTTTCGTTCAGTGAAACGCGCGTTTCACTGGTGGTATGATTTTTTTCCCCTTTATTTTCTCTATTTTTAAAATAATTTTTAAAATATTTTTTTTAGTTTCACTTTTAAACTTCCCGCCTGCTCCGCCCCCCTTCGAAGCGGCCGCTCGCAAGGTACGGAACCCGGAAGTCGTCAGCCGCCGAAGACACAGCGGGGATCGCGGACAAGGTAATACCTGTACGCTGTAATCCCGAGTGTGGCCCGGGGTTACCGCTTTGTTAACCACACTCAGGAATACCAATGGAAAGGCGAGGCAAAACGCCCCAAAGAAGCTCCTGTACTTCTTTGGGCGCAGGGCGTTTTGCAGCGCGTTCCTACGCGCTGTAAAACGCCCAGGTGGGAACCATGCCATAGGCAATCATTGGTTTTCACATGTTGAGTGTTTTACAGCATGTAGCAACACGCTGTAAACCGCCAAGGTGTGAACCAGGCCTAAAAGTTAGAGTGGCTTAACCTGGCCATGTTGACTTGCTTCTCTGTTTTATAATTCTAGTTATGACCACATATTTTCATGCTCTGTTAATTTTGTAAAAAGTCAAAACTGATTAATTTTTGTGGATATTATTAGTTTACATATTTATACTGTTTAAATATTGAATGCTTTAGTATTAAAAGGAGAACTATGAGATGAGTGATTTCCACTCACCTCATAGTTCTAGCCGACCTGTGACAATGAGACTGTCACAGGTCGGCTCAGTAGATCGGGAGG